GCCCCTGGAATTACTGCACATGAACCTGCTGACAGACAACTGAACTCCAGCTCTCCCCTCAGCCAATAAATCTTGTAGTGGTCTAATTTTGCAAGGAATGATGCCTCAGGGAAGGCCTGTGTGGTCCAAAGAAAGAGAAATTAAGCATGCTCAAAAGCCCTAATTCTGCTTATCAGGTCCCCCTCCCACAGCCCTCCCATCCCTCAGCAATGGTGGCTTGTGAGGGAGCGCAGGCTGATATAAGCCACAGCAGCAAGCCAGGGAGAAGGACATGAGGCATGTGACTGGCCCAATGGCCTCATCAGGATGTGGGGGGGATCTCTGGGGCACTGTGGAGTGGGATTGGATCAGATGGGATCATATAATGGGGCTGCAACCAGTCACAGAATCGTACAATCACAGAATCGTTCAGGTTGCAAAAGCCCTCTCAGATGCCCAATCACGACCCACCCCACCATGCTCATCACCACGTCCCTCAGCACCACATCCCCATGGCTTTGGAACACCTCCAGGGACAGTGACTCCACCACCTCCCTGGGCAGCTGTGCAGTGTCTGATCACTCTTTCAGAGAATAAATAATTCCTAATATCCAACCAGACCCTCCCCTGGTACAACTGGTGGTGGTAGGCTGCCACCTCTCATCCTATCACTGTTACCCAGGAGCAGAGGCCAATCCCAATCCCATCTCACTACAACCTCCTTTCAGGGAGTTGGAGAGGGTGATGAGGTCTCCCCTGAGCCTCCTCTGCTCCAGACCAAATTGTCCCTTTCCCTCAGGTGCTCCATAGACCCACATCCTGTGCTGTCTTTTTGTGAGGGTGAATGCACACTCATCTCCCCACAGTCTGGGAAAAAGGGTGCCTCCTGTCTAGGCTCAGCTGCTGCCAGGGCTGAGGAAGGGGCTCTGCCTATGGAGAGCATAGGGAAGCATCCTCCCCTGATCACCCCGGGTCAGCAGACTCTGTACCGCTGCATGAACTTGCTTTTCCAGAGCATGGACAAGGAGAGCATGTGTTGAGGCTCCTTCCCCTGTGCATCATAACAGGACGTTAATTCAAGGCCTTTGCAGAAGACAAAGGGAGAGTTGTAGCTGTTTTATTTGGGGGTGGGAGGAGGCACTGCATCCAGGAAGCGCCCTCCCCAGGGAGATAAGGGAGACCTGGCCACCCACGAGCCGTGGCTCGTCAGGAATCCAGGCTTCCATATGTACAAAGCTTGTGCCAGAAGTGTCGTTCCCATCATCAGCAGGCCACCCGCCCCTTCCCCCCCACCTTCCCTGCCTTCTCCCTCCTCCTCTCCTCTCCCTGTAACCAGCTGACTTTTTTCACAACCAGGAAACAATCAAACAACCTCTTCAGCTGCTTTGGCTCCTCCTCCCAACACCACCGTCTCCCCCTGCAAAGGATGCTGTCACTACTCCCAGAGCCTGATGTGCTGTGCAGTGCAAAACTGTTATTCCAGCCTCCCAGTGGGGAATACCCTCTGGGCTGCAAATACCTGTGTTTCGTTAAGTAAATAATCACACAAGATAAAATATCTGTCTTGATGGTAAAATGGAGGGAGGGAAGAAGGATGCAGACCTGGTGTGCACCAGACAGCACTCCCTGAATTCGTATTGCGAGGGGGGCGGCAGCGCCTGCCACTGTGTGCCTGGCCTTTCTCCTGCAGGTAGATAGTGACATTTGCACCCACTGGAGGACAATTAAATGCACAGCTTCAGAAGAGGTGATTCTGTGAGGGGCTGAGAGCAGGGGGAATGTTGCATTTAGCTTGTTAAAATAGCTCTCACAAAGAGAATGGCTGGGAAATGTATTCAGTGCAACTCACCCAGGGAAAGGCTTGGAAAGCAGCCAGCTGTGCTGCTCCAGTCTTACAGAGCACTGAAGAAGAGGAAGGTAGATGGCCCTGGTGGAAGGAGAGCCATTCCTAATTGTTCTTGGGGCTTTCTGTGCCACAATGGGTCCTAGTGACCACTAGACCCTCCAAAAGAGCTGACTGTTGTGGAAAAGCTCAGCTCCTGGGGAAACCCTCTGCCTTCTGTCCCTTTCCCAGGCCATCGAGCAGCTTATGGCAAAGTCAAGCATTGACCTCGAGTGTCCTGGCGTGCTGCCTGTGCTCCAACCACCAGACTGCAGTGCTGCTGCCTCCCTGCCATGAGGTCTCATATGTTTTATTGCTCACCTGTTTAGGAGACTTCACACGTTCAGCACGGAGGCTTATAAACCTACTGGGAAAACAGAGGAAGGGAAGAGGTGAAGGAGAAGTTCAGCCAAGAGTGAAATGCTGAGGAGGTGTGGGAGCCTTAGGCTGGGCTGTGCCAGGGTCACCCAGGTCCATCACAGCCCATGGAGCAGCTAATTTGCCCATGCCAGGATCACAGGGCGGTTGGTCTGGGGTCACCTGTGGGATCTCAGGACATCCAGCAGGCCAAGGGCATCCTGCTGAGCACAGGTAGAACTGACGTGCAGCTCACCCTGCACCCACAGCTGTGAACTGGGCTTGGACCAGGGGTGAGAGTCTCCCAGATTCATTTCTCAGTCATTTATTCATATATAATTGCCTGTCTGCCTGTCTTAAAGCTAATGACTGGATGTGAAGATTTCCAGTTAGGGTTTGTGAGAAGGTAATTACACTGCAATCTCACTGTATGACTATTCCTTGAATGAAGATAAACTTGTTTGAGTAGGTCTGCACATCGCAGGAATCAGTTGTATTACAGAGACCAGGCATGGCAGGGGAGATAAGGGAATGTTTTCACCGCTGCTTTTTTATCTGCTGACCCATTAAAAGCTTTTCTGTCTGAAGGGGGTGAGGAGCAAGTAAAAGGGTTAATCCCACAGCTTCTCACCCCTGATGAACATGATTTAAGTCTCCATCACTCGGTTGGGGATCAGTGGGTACCCTGAACTGCCTTTCAGGTAGGTGCTGCTGTACTTTGCTGAGATGCTCCAATTCCATGAGGCTGATGGACTTAATTCATGAAGGCCCACAAGAGCTGGACAGAAATAGGCTGGCACAGCTGGAGCCTGGGGAGACAAGCCTAAAGTGGGAAAGCAGGGAAGGGACAATTGCATAGCCCATATCAGAAGGACCAGGGGAACAGCTGTGTATCACCATGAGTTTGAGGCTGCTCCCAGAGCGATGTATTGGCTGACAGCAGGAGGTGCCTCTGGTCAGCACTGCAGTGCACGTGCAGGCAGAGAACGCTGTCCCTGTGGGTGAAACCATCTCTGGCCAGCATTATCAGGGCCTGCTGATGCACAGGCATTCACCCTGTGATTAGAGGGCAGATAAACACAGAGTGTTCTCTCTAAACAGCAGCTAAGGAGATAGAAAAGTCCCGCAGCAAGATAACTTTCCAGGCTCAATCACTTACAAGCCTGATGGTTAGATAAAGCTCTCTTCCATTTTTAGGATGCCCTTACATTTTCCAAGACCGTAGAGTGATGGGACTCTATGCAAGAAAACAACCAAGTTTATCCACGCCTGTCAGAACCTGGGTATAATCCCCATTGCTTTACATCACTTACCAGCAGCCTTGTCATCTGATGTCACTTCTGTGCAGTGCACACTCAGCCACTCCATGCAGTGTAGTCCCACCCCAGTGACACTGCCCTGTCAGCTGTCTCAGGGCACAGAGGCACCTCCCCTCTCTGCAGGGCTCTGCTCTGTTACTTTAAAGCTCTCACCCTTCTTCCAAGCACAAGCCAATGCACTGAGATCATCTCTCAGTCCCATCTAGCTGTTAAACCCCCTCAAATCTTTCTTGCTCAGCAGCACTTCATATAAATCCAGTAATGTGCATATCAGTTTGGCTGCCAACTGCTTTTGGGTCAGGAGGGAGGGGGCTGTGTGGGGTTATTATTACAGTCACCGCTCCATTTCCCTAGGGGATGCCAGGAAACCACAAGCTGCCAGCAAACGTCTCGAGGACGGAGGCATGTTGGGGACCCCTGGGAGTCAGCTGGCAAATCTGATGCACTGGCTATGGATTAACAACCCATTAGGGCAGGGGCTTGGGGCTGCATTAAGCAAATCCTTCCCCTCAGCCTTTGCAGACGCTAGCGATTGTTTCCTCAAAGCAAGGCAGAAGCAAGGCAGCTTCAGCATGGGGATGGTGCTTAAGCATCAGGCTCGCACCATTAAATATCAGTGAGGGCTTAAGGGCATTGCACAGCACTTCCCTAAGGGAGATGAATGATTTCCTGGGATGAACCCAACTGGCCCACTCTGTGCTGCACTTGCTTGATGTTGATGCGGCCAAAAGAACACTCTTTGGCATGAATAAAACATGCTTCTTGAGTAGCAGCAGCAACTAGTTTGTCTGGAAGAGCCCCTGACTATGACAGGGCAAGATGTGTGAACCTGCCTTTCAAGGAATCGCTGTCTGAGCTGCTTTCAGGAGCAGCGCAACAATTACTCCTCTTCTGCTGCAGCGGGTGAGTCTGTGCTGGTGGACAAGGAAAGACTTCCCTTATCTGATTTCTCTCTTCTGCAGCAATCATCTGGAACTGATTGCAAACCCACCCTGGGGAAGTATTTTCCCCCACAGGCCATTAGAAAACCCTGCAGGGTCACGACCCATTTGTCAGAGGTCTCCACGAGGTGGCTAAGAAATGCACATTCAGATGTGTGATACAGGCATGGCCAGCAGCATCCTGCTTTCCACCAGGAGAAAGTGAAAACTGGAATGATCTGAAAGCTTCTGCTTGAAGTGCAGTGGTTTGGAGGTGTGAGATCAGCCCTGCCACAGCCCAGTGGTGCTGTGCTGGGGAGCATCACACACCTGCTGTGTGCACTGGTTTGCCCACAGGTCTGCAGCACCACGACTCTTCTCAAACACATTGGGACTTTCACATGGAAAGTTTCTGATGGAACAAATGTACTCCACCAGCTCCTGTGATGTGGATTGGCAGCACGGTGAGACTGGGTCTCTATGCCTGGACTTGCAGGGATACGGTGTGTTGAGATGGAAAAAAGGATGGGAAGAAATAAAAGATTTCAGCTCTGCTGCCATGAAGTGCTCAAGCCTGCACCTAACATCAAGATATTGAAATCAGCCTTGCTGACACAGGGCTTCAAGTGATTAAGAACATTCTAATGAAATGTTTACCTCCTGGAAAACACCATTTTATCCAAAATAAAATCTTCGCAAGCAGGAAAATTTAATTTACAGATCAAACAAAAATAGTCCTAATGAAGCAGTGCTGCACAGCTGGAAGTCTCCAATCTAATTTGTCAAAATGAACATTAATATTCTCCTTTCATTTGTGACTTCATCACTTGAACTGCATTTTGTTACAATACCATAATGAAATGAGGTCACTACGAAAGGCTGCTCTTTAAAAAGCAAGCTATTGGCAGCACTTCCATAAGTCAGAGGTATCACTGTCTAAACAAATTCCAAACTGCTGGAGCTTTCTGCAAACTGGAGATGTGGCCACAGCTCTGCCATTGGGGAGGGGGTTGGGAGGGGGGCAGGAGGAGCCATAAATCCTACAGGAAAGGGAAGTCTTCCTAGCGGGGAAGACAGTGAGATTCCAGGTTGTTTTCTCTAGAGCTACGCTGGCTTCTCCATCACCGTGCCTCTTTAAGGAAGGAGCAAACGACACCAGCCAGGACTAGCAAGGAAGGGGCAGTTCTGCCTTGGGGTGAGGCTGCTGTGGTCCCATTTCATGCTGTTCTGCACCCATCTGTTGCTCTGATGCTCCTTCATCCAGCAAGGCAGTGGGATACCCCAGCCCCTCGGGGACAGCTGAAGGCAGGGACTGTGCTGTGCCCTGGGCTCCCATCCCCTCTTCCCAGATGGGCTCCTGTGGTTTGCAGGGACTGCTCAAAGCACTGGAATATCACTGAGCAGGCAGCTGAGGAAAGACTTGATCAAAGTATAAACAAATTCTAAGTGCCTGAATCAAGAGAATGACACAAACTAACCCACCCCTTAAAGTGCCTGTGACCACAAACCACATCACTGCAGCAAAGGAGGCACACTTTTCTTGTTCTAAGTCATAAAAATTACTTACTGAGGTGACAAATTTATGGCTGGAGTAATTACACGATTACTTTATTATGTGCCACCAGCGTGAGAAATATATATTAAAAAGTCACTTATGTCCAAACCAAAAGGGCCAGCAAAGAATTATTGGAGGCAGTAAATAACTGTGACAAGTACAATTATTTACTTGGTTGGAAGCTAGAATTTCAGATTGAAAGCCGGCAGTCATGTTCAAAGGGCTCAGATGCAGTGGCAGCAATCAGTCCCATCCTCACACCCTCCTTAGCACTGTATGGAAGGTGATGGTGGGCAGCTGCAGCATAAACTCAGCTGGGCTGTGAGCTCCCCAGCACAGGTCCAACCCTTGGGGTCCATGTTCTCACTCAGTGCCAGGGTCCCTAGACACCAGGGAATGGAGGATACAGGTGGGTTATGCCCCAGAGGCAGCAGCACTGTGCCCTGGTCCTCTTCTGGAGAACAAACCCAGGCATGGCCTCCTCTGAGCAGTGAGTTCCCACTGGGCCGCACCATCAAAGATCTGTTAGTACATTAAAAACAATAAATATGAATGCCCAACTGATTTTCTTACCTTGGGCTTTCCCACGATGGCACAAATCACAATAGGGAGAACTCATCCTGCAAACAGGAGTTACCAGCTGTGAAGACAGAAAGCAGCAGACAGATGCTTCAAACCAACTTTGGATCATCCAAGAAAGGAAGCTATCACAATCCAGTAATAAAGGAGGAGACTCTTACTCTCTTCCAAGGATCAGGACTCACTAAATGCTCCAGAGAAAGCAATCTCTCTGTAGAGATGCTTCCCTTGCAGCTATCAGCCCTTATATGAGGTTAGGGAGGGGTGGCCTCTGGGTGTATCCACAGATGTATTGCTTCCACCTGTGCTGGTAGGGCTGGTTACACCCCTTCACCAGGTGCACAATCACTGCTTCAGGCTGTGACCTAATGGCTCCCATACACCAGCATACAGGGCTGCGTAGTCACAAGGGCTGGGAGGGTGAGGGGAGGGATGTGGTGGCTCCAGCAGAGGAAAGGGGACCTGAGGTGGGGCTGTGATGTGTCAGGGCCACCCCACCTGCGGTTGGACCTGAGCCGTGGTGCAGCCCTGTGCTGCTGATGGCAGCAGCCCCTGGGATCTGCCTGCCCCAGGTACCGCAGTGCTTACAGCTCTCACACGTGGTGACAAGTTGATCTCAGCTTTAATTTCTTCTGTTTTCATTTCGCCGTCTGTAAAAGTAGTTCCCTTCCAGTGCTCAGTTTTACCATCACCATGAACCTCCAAAGCCGTTCAGAAAACCCTGAGTGTGCCTCTGATCTCTCACTGCCGTCGGCTCCGTTTGTGACTCTCAGATAGCAGATTTAAACTAACGTTACTGAAAGCCACTTCTTTTTCCCTAATTCCTTGCCAAGACATGAGACTGGAGTTCTAATGCTTCCTCTGTCAGACAAGGGTTTCTCAGGACACTGTGTAAAGCTTATCTATATGGAATCGCTCTATTTTTGAGGGGAAAACAAAACTGAACTCTCACCTTAGAAGGCAAAAATAAAGCATGTAACCATAAAATGTGTAAACATAATAAGGGTTTTAGCCCTATCCCGGTGGATTCACACTGTACATTCTTTTCTGCTTTCTTTTCCTTTTTACAAGGGAAATGGCTTCATTTGTTGACTAACAGACAAAATCGATGCCCGATGAGCACAAGGACAGCCTGGAGGCTCTGTGTGGGCAGAGCATGGCAGTCCTGCGCCAGCCCAACAGGTCTCACCCTGCTCATGTTCTGCCCAGGCAGGCAGCTGGGGCTGGGGGGAGTGGGGCTGAGTCGGGGGGAGGCTGTGGGAAGCCTTAGTACAGAGCTTGTCCCAGGAGCCCCAAGTGCCCCGGATACTAATTGCTAATAAATGTGCATGCTGAGTAGCTTTTGTTTTTCCAGCAGGATGGAATAACATAGAAAATATGTGCAAGTCCCCGGACTTCAAAAGTGTGTTTTTCTTTCATTTATATTTACCTAATTACGCTGTCACAGACTGCTGAAAATCAGACCCTCACCCCCTCCCCACATCCCCAAAATGACCAAATAAGCAGAGCAGAGACTGCGGTGTGCTGACATTGCCGCCGGCCATCGGGGAGCCAAGGGGGGATGCTCAGGGCTGCCTAAATCCCCTGGGCTGTCGTCTGTACCACGGAAATAGGGCTCCAGCCCTACCTGCAGCAGGGAGGTGCAGCAGGATGGAGACAGGGAGAGACCTTAGGGCTGTGTGCTGTGGGTGCTGGATCCAGGGAGAGGCACTGCAGGTAGGAATAGTGCACGTTGCCATCCTCCCAGCAGGAGGAAAAGGCAGCTCTGCCCTTGCAGGGTGTCCGAGCTGATTTGCAGAGCGTCGCAAAATGCACCTGAATGCTGAAAGTTGGTCCAAGAGCTGCATCCAGCCCTAGAGCTCCCAGCTGAGTGCCCATGGCCTCAAGATCTGGAGCAGCTCATGGAGAGGAGCAGGAGTGGGAAAGGTAGAACACAGGGCTATGGTGCGTTCTTGGCGTGCTGCTCATCTGAACAGATCGCAGAGGAGCAATTAAATGATTCTGTCAGATTAAGCTGTGAAAAGCAGGACTGCAACGAGGAACACAGGTCAGCCACGGGGGGCAGCCAGGCCCCATACAGAGGCACTGGGGGGGGAGATGTCAGCACTGAAGTGTTTTAACTTATTTGCAGCCTCAGAAGTTCAGAGCTTCAGTCAACAGGGTGCAGGAAAAGGGCTGGCAGGTTGTGCTGCTCATTTTTAGGTGAACCACCGGCACCACTTGACTGCCCTGTGTTACAAGGCAGCTTCGTTAATCTACCAAAGCTATTTATTAGACCCTAACCTCCAGAGGTGCTCCATAGATGTGGACCCGCAGCACAGTGCTGCTTAGAGCAGGAGATGGAGCTCCGCTGCATTCCTGGAATGAGAGATGAGCAGAAACCTCAGCTCTGCCCACAGGGGTGGGGCAAAATGCCCTCCGGCATTAATGCAAATGTGAGCATGTATTCCAGCGCGCATATAACTTAGTCAAACTGAAAGAATGCAAAGGCAAACAAACAAGCAGAAAGTCCTGCAGTGCATCATGTGTTATTTGCACAGAAAGAGCAGGGCAGAAGGAAGCAATGTGGACATTATGTTACAGAACCGCGGGATTCTACAGGTGCCTGGGTGAGGCTGGTGCTGACCTCCGCAGAGCTTTCCCCATGCAACAGGCCCTGCTCCGGTCCCATCTTCCTCCCAGTTTGCAGAGGACAAGAAAGGGCTCTGCTTTTACAGAGCCTTGGATGACAGTGTGAAAGAAAACGCAAAAAGCCAAACCTGACCAGGATTTTCCCGTGCTAATTAGGTACAAAACACTGGTTTTACTCCTCCATAGCTCGGATGAATCGCGGTCCCAGCCCAGGAGGAGATCGATTTCCATGTACAAACATAGCCTAAGGTCTCAGGATTTCCTCCCTTCACTGCAGCTCTGGCCAATTTTGTTCTTGAGATAGAAACTGATGGAGAGAGGAAATGTTAAATTTGTGTGGGAGGTGACTGGGGCTTGTTCAGAGCTGGGCTGGGGGTTTGCAGCAAAGCCCTAATTGTGGTTCCTGATAACGGGAAATCTTAAGCACATCACTGCTTTATTGGCTTCAAACCCTGTCCAACAATTAAGCTTGTTTTTAAAAAGCTCCATTTTCACCTAATCTGCTTTGTGACCTTTTTCTTGCCAAGCCCCAGTGGCTGCAGCCCACCTCTGTGCATGCTGAGGCTTGCTGTGAGCTTTGCTGCAGGTGACAGCAGCACCGTGGCCGTGCATGCTGGGCAGGGGCTTCCACCTATCACTGTTGCACCTTGCTCTTGCCCTTGTGTTTAGCCAACATGTAACAAAGCCCTCCTTCCATCCAGGGCAAGGTATGCATTTACTCCTCTGGTTTGAGATAAGCATCCGTCCAAAGAGTTGCATGGCTTTTTCCAACACGGCTAAGAGTTTCTCAGGAGCATGGCTGGGTTTCCTCACCCTGCACACAGAGGAGCAGCTAGGGCTCTGCAGGACTGGCACAGGGCTGCAGGGGGGCCCAGCACATTCAGAACCCCCCCCCCCCAGCTCTGTCCTCTGGTGGGATTGGGATCTGCTGCCACTGGGAGATGTGCTGGTACCCAGGTGCTGGCAGCACAGCCCATGCAGTGCTGCACTTTGCACAACATTTAAGCCAGCAGCGTGCGGCACAGTAACCACAACTGAGTGCACCATGTGTACTTATAGATACAAATGTGTGCACATGTATTTACATAAAGAAAGCACGAGAGAATAGAGTCGTCGAGGAAGAGTAAAGCCAGCAGTGGGCTGGTAGTTAAAATCGGGTTTATTGAAATCGATTTGCAGCGCGCAGTGCAGGGGATGTGTTGTGAATGCAGCAGTGAGGTATCACAGCCGCTTCTGAGCGGGGCTCTAGGAAACCCAGCCCCATTTTCCTTCTGCCTCTGTACCATGCAGCTCAGGAACGATGCAAATGCCCCACTGTTTTTTCCACAAGTTGCTCATGAAGCTGGGACTCAGCTGGCCTGGCACCAGATAGGGTTACTGAAGTATTGCAGCCCCCTTCTCACCTGCAGAAATGGGCTGGTTTCCTCCAAAAATTAGAACCACCTCATTTCCATTGGATTCCTCCTCTCACAGTCCCTCTGCCATCTGCCCCCCTGCCTGGGCTGTGCTGCAGGACGTGCAGGTTCGCAGTGCTGCTGCCCATTCCCTGCACTCACTAATGACTCCATAGGCAAATCACACACCTGCCCTCCTCACGAATGGGAACAGACAGCTCCACAGAGCCACACGCAGGAGCTGCAAGCACCATCAGAGCTTCACCAGGACAGCACAGCCAGTGACCTTTTGGGGAGCACAGTGGCACCTGAGAGCATTTTTGGGGCACTTGGGTTCTCTGAGCCCTCACTCCAAGTGCCTCCTCCTCCACCCCCCCTCCTGCCTCAGTGCTCATGGTACTGCACAGATTTTGTTGGCTTCCCTGTGGATCCTATCAGCCAATGAGTTTGCTCCTTTTCAAGGGCTCTTTTTTTCTATTATTACTACTAAATGAATGCACTTCAAAATATGTTCATATTTACATTTGCTTTGAGATGAAATTTCGGAGGTGAGGTTCTGCACACAAACTCCAGGCTCTTTCTGCCTCAATTATGTGTTATATCCATACATGCATAAGAGCTGAGTTATTCCATGAGCCCCCCCTGTGCCTGTGCTCCCCGCAGCACTGCAGCTCCTCCCCCAGCCCTGGGAGTCCCCTCCAGCTCCATCCAGCTCCATTCTGCTGTGGCTACCACCTGTCCCCAGCCCCTTTGGAGGAGGCGGCACTGGTGGCACTGCTGTCGCGCTGCCTCACAAGAAGGCTTTGGTTGTGGTGTCTCCACAAAGCTCTCTTTCATTTCAGAGCAGCAGAGAGAGAGGTTGCACTTGTAGATCTGTCTAGCAAACCACTCCAGAAGGTGTTTGCAAGAGGCAGACAATGCTGCCAAGAATCTCATTACACACCCTGCTTCACTGCCTGGTCCTCCCTGGGAAGGATGCTCCACGGGCAGCCACTCCATGAAGCACACAGCGGGTCACAGCCACAGCAGTGGCGCTGGTACTACTGTAGGGTGGGGGCTGGGGGAAGACAGCCACTCTCAGCAGCCCCAATTCCTGGCAGACCCACAGGACCCAGGAAAAAACCCACACCCCCAGAGGGATAGGAGAGGCCCAGGAGAGATGTGGAGGAGGATACAGGACCTGGAGGATGGAGAATCCAGCCC